AATTGCAATGAATGTAAATCGTTCGCAAGAAAGAAACCAAAAGTAATTGTTGTGCAAGAATTTAATACTTGAATTGAAAAAAATCTTTTAAAGTAAAACAATGGAGAAAGCTTGAAAGAGAAAAAGAAAATCTAAAAACTCTAGAAAATAAAAAAAAATGACGGTGAATTGAACGATATAATTGGAGCTCCTTTTTCTTTTGCTAGACTTAGGTATTTATAGGAGGACTTGTGCTAAAAATCCTCCTTTCTATCTGCCAAACATGACCCTTGAAATGTTCTGTAGATTGTCCTCACTAGGAATCTCAGTTACTGAATTTACATGAAACTACTGGTCAGAAATAGAAAACTACCTACCGGTAGGATTGTTCACTATAATCTTTCTACTACTTGGCTTACTCTAGTATTGGTTGAACCTTTTTCTGTCTTCAACCTACCAGTAGAAAGTACTAACATATCGGTAGAACAACTTTCTGTTTTGAACCTATTGGTAGGATTGAACTCCTACGGGTAGAACTAACTTTTGGCCTTCGTTGTACCAGTAGAAGACCTACTGATAGAAAAAGTCTTTTTCTTAATTCTGATTGTTGTGGCATTGGGTTCATTATTGGACCTCTTGGCTCATCCTACAAGTTTTCTATGACATTGAAACATGTGCAATTCCATGTTCTGACACCCATTCAAATGCAAACACACAAATTTATAATATAAAACAGGACAACTTCACTCAATGTAAGACACCTTCACGCCCCCTCTATGTGTGTGTGTGTGTGTGTGTTAAGCCATCTCCATCGACTCCACCATTGCCCCAGTGACACCGCTACCCAGCCACTTCACTTCGGCGACGCACAACCCACTTCGGAGACCTAAACTTTGGCAACACTCTTTTACATGTATACTCTCTCTGTCTTTNTGTTAAGCCATCTCCATCAACTCCACCAATGCCCCAGTGACACCGCTACCCAGCCACTTCACTTCGGCGACGCACAACCCACTTCGGAGACCTAAACTTTGGCAACACTCTTTTACATGTATACTCTCTCTGTCTTTCTCTCTCTCCACGATATGCCATCACCACAGCCCCACACTATTATCACAGCCACCACCCTTGCATCCTTTCCCCCCACCACCACGGAAACCCTACCTTTTCCTCCTCTGTTACTTAACTTCTAAAGTAACGTCTGGTGTCAATTGGACCTAAACCCAAATTTAGGGCTTATTTTGATTTCAACTAGGGGAGATTAGAAATTTGAAGCCACCATCACCCCAATGACACCGCCTCACTGGTGTGCTTTGTTTTTCATTTTCCCTTTTTGATATATAGGAAAAAGAATCTATCCATGCATTGGAAAAAGGAAGCTTTGTTTTCATTGTTTTGGTTTTTTGGTCTCCTTTTTTATAGACCTCCCCCAATTTCCTTCTGTTTGTTGTCCCTACTTGGGTGTTTTAAAACATAATCTATACTTGCTCTGTTTTGTTGCAAATCATATGTTAGTTTACCCACTTCCCATTTGTTTTAAGCTCATTAGAGTTACTTTTGTTGCTAGATTTTGTTGTGTCAATCTTAAAAAAAAGAAATGGCTGAAAGAGCCAAAAAAAAAAGTTGATATATACTGGTGCTTATTTATTTTAGTGAAAGACAAGGGAATCAGTAGTTTGTTTAAATTAACTCTTAACCTTTTGCAATTTTTTTGTTGAAGGGAAAAGCCTTTTGGGTTAGTAGCAGACAAAGGAAGAGATGTCATTTGTTAGGGGCTAATATGTATCTATCTTTTGGTTTCATTTCTTTTCCCCTTTGTCTACGTGTATGTAATAGTTCTGTATTAGTTGTGTCCGTTGAGGATTTGCTTGAATTCTTTATGGGACTCAAAATTTCATGTATTTTGTTTCACGATTTGATAATCTTAGAGTAGTTAGATTTAATCATGAAAATTTGATCAAAAATAGTTTCCATTTATGACATGCTATCTCTCCACAAACCTGTTTAAGTATGATATATGAGAAAATCCATCTTCACTTGATAGTGTTTGCACATCTTCATATTTTTGTAGGGTCTTATTTTTAGTGGGAATTTTGCCATAATTGTTTGGAACAAAAATTATTATATTTAGAAGCATTAGCATTCTCTAAACCATCGACATATTATGAGGACAAAAAATGTAATTCAACCAAGTAAAGTGTTAAAAAAAATTAGTTTTAATTGATTTTGGTATTGGTGATGTCGTTTATTACATTTTTCTTGTTGCAGTTCATTTCTTAATCCTCCTCCCTTGTTTTCTATCTCATATTTATTTGATTGTGTTCATACTATAATGATTTTTGAATTTACCACTATTTGGATATCAACCAATCCAAAATTAAATGGTCACTGAACAATGTTTGAGATTGTTTTGATTTGTACTCTATCGAATTTTTTTTAAAAACAATAATGGGTCCATATTATATTGATCAACATTTTTCTTAGTTTTTCTAATTGACATTTTTTGTGGCATACAATCTTTTCATGCACATGTATTTGCTTGCGATTTTTTTGTTTGTCATGTTGCGTCTTCAAACACAAGTAATTACTGAACAAAAAAGGTGAATTTTATTAGTAGGTTTTGTGAAATTGTAATACCAATTAAGGTTGAATATGTTATGTTTATTAAAGTTGTTTAAAAATAAGAATTTTTTTTTATTAAAGTTGTTCAATTTTTTATTTTTTTTGTGTTTGCTTTGTGCAGTTGGTGGCATGAAGTGTTAATATGCGATGCTGAGGAAGAAAATTGGTTTTGGTTATGGGTTTACACACTTGGAGGAATAAAGTTATATTTTTTTATGTCATCTATTTTTTTTTTTTTTTGGTTGCTACATTCCTGAGTTATTAATATTTTGTGGTCGTAAGTGTTACTTCTTTCATGGTTGTCGTAGTTTGGTTATGAAAATTGTGTATACAAGTTAAAGAATTAATATAGGCAAGTATTAGCCAATTGATATTTTTTGTACTTTACCTTTCATCAAATTGATATGATTATGTACTATTTATTGTTATGGATTTTATTTGCGCACACCAATATTTATATTGTTGTGATGGTTGAATATTTTGTTTATGTTAAGGCTAGACTGTGGTGTGACAGTGAGTTCAATATTTGAATTTGGGTTGTGATTGTAACATATAATAATTATCTATATAAGTTGATTTTTTTTTTGGGGCCCTAATTTTAGGAGACATTTTGTCCAAATTTTTAAAATAACAAAGAAAATTATTTTCATTAAATATTGGCGAATTTTTTGTTTAGTATAATATAGTACTTTTAGGCATGAGCATTTTCTTCAAATGTCATAAATTTGTGGAATCTTCTGAGTTGACTTTTGATTAAAGCTTTTAGGTGATAGTGTAAGTTCTAATTAGTTATATAATTTCAAGTATATGAATTTTATGGATTTTTGATTATTAAGTTTGTGTTTTCTTTATTTTTTTATTAAAATTTGTTTTCATGAGAATGTTTAAATATATAATATTTTATTAAGCATATATATAAAATGTGGGTGTTAAGGATGTAATTTAGATTGTCAATTTAATGCGTGTCCACAATCAGTATTTTAAATTTTTGAATTGTACACCACTTTTAATCACGGATTATTATCGGTCTATAATATAAACAAGACGGTTTCAACAAATTTCTCTTTCGTCTCAATTATACTAATCCAACAGCCACAAAATTAACATTGGCCACGAAATTAACATTTTATCGTCTAATATTTTCCCCTCAATTCCGTCGCATCCAATTTTCTCTCGCTCAATGTCACACTTTGTCTCTCTCCTGCCCTCTCCGTCGCGCCTTCTCTCTCTCTCTGTTAAGCCATCTCCACCGACTCCACCATCGCCTCACCGCCACCGCCACCGCCACCTGCCTCCCAGGTATCTCTCTCTCTCTCTCTCTCTCACACACACACACACGTACACATACACGGACACTCTCACCCCTACCCCTCTCTACGCAACCCACCCCCATCCCTGCTTCTCTCTGTCTCACAAACACACACCCCCTCTCTCTCTCTCTCTCTCTCTCACTCACACACACACACACATACACACACAGAGTTAACGAAACCCCCATGTCTCCCCCTTCACCGTCGTCATCATCATCATCTTCGTTGCGATCAAAGCCCTTCGCTTGCGATCAAAGCCTTTTGCTGCAGTCAAACCTCCCAGGTCTCCCCCTTCACTGCGAGTGAGTGCTTCATTATTGATTACAATCATTAGGGGTCAGGGTTTTGTTAATGCCAGCCAGTGGCTTCTAATCCCTTTCGGTCTATGATTTACAACTGATCAGTCAGTGCACATAAGTTTTGTTGAGAATTTCGATCAATATTTTATCAAAGCCCTACACTTGCTTTATCTTCTGCCTTCACTTTTTCATTTTCCACCACCTCCTCCACCACCACTCCCATATCTACAAATTCACAGACCATGCTTGGCCTTCATTTACGCACACAATGACGAAAATGTACATCTAGGATCCTTATATTTGCTACAGATTAAGTTTTTTTTATAGACATTTGATTGTCATCTATGGGGAGTGTATCGTCTGAAGATGGATTCAATGGACAGAGTGAGAGATGTGGAAGTTACAGTTTGAGTGCGGATGTGAGTGAGTCAGAGAGTTCGAGTAGCTTCTCGTGTTGGCAATGGTGTCGTCTTCGCCCGCTTGTGGACAATTGACTGGTAATTCCACTTTTCTGTCTCCGATGCCACCGCCTTTGATGTTTCCGGTGATTGGCGGGAAAGATGTGGTGGTTTGGGATAAGAAGCCTGAGAAACGTGAGACCAATTTGTCAGGTTGGTACATTTTCATTTATGTGCTTCCATTTCACTGATTTTGTTCTCAACTTGGTGTGTTTGCTCAGGTAAATTTATGGTCAATGATTTATTTTCAAGCTTCAGGCATTGAATAGATTGTACTCTGCATCATTTCACCCATAATAGTTGTTTCTTATTTGCTTTATTGATATCTTTCTTCATTTGAAATGGTAGCCACTATATTTGGGGAGCCATGGAGTTGTGCCATTGGCACCACAGAAGAGGGCAATGTGGTGCAGAGAGATGGAGTGGCTCTTATGTGTGAGTGATTCCATTGTAGAGCTTGTGTCTTCCATACAACAATTCCTTGGGTGAGGCACATACGAAGTAACGGCAACAAGGCCGCAGTCAGATTTGTATATGAATCTCCTTGCTCTGAAAAAGCTTGATGCTATGTTAATTAGTATCCTTGAAGGGTTTTGTGAGATAGAATTTTGGTATGTCGATCGAGGTATAATTGTCCTTGATGTGGACAATTGTGATGAGTATCCATTGGGTATGTTAGGTGGAAGAGCTTCAATTAGGCAGGAAGAGGAGTGGTGGCTCCCGAACCCAAAAGTTCCTCCAAAAGGGTTGTCAATGGATGCAAGGAAGAGGTTGCAATAATGCAGGGACTGTACCGACCAGATACTGAAGGCAGCCTTGGCAATCAATAGCAATGTGCTTGCTGAGATGGAGATTGCCAATGCTTTCTTAGAAACTTTGTCCAAGGTATGGGTTTCAATGTTGGGTCTACAAATGCTATGATATATAAGCAAACTAAGAACTAAATTTGGATCTGATTGGCAATCAATAGTAATGCTATGATATATCCATAGATACTACAACTGGTTTGGTTTCTTTGTTTTACTTTGGATCTGATTGATGTCATTAGGTTGACAATGTGTTTTTTTATGGTCCTTACTTTTCTTATCATTTATTACTGTAGAAAAGTTTTTCTAAATTTAAACCTTGTGGAATGTTTGGTAGCTTGCTTTTGATGATTTTCTGGAGTTATGACTGCTTGTACTCGTGGCGTTTGAGTTCAACATATTTTGTCTTTTCGACATAGGGTACATATATTTTGGTGTCTAATAGACCACAATAAAGCATTTTGCGATTTGTGAGTTGAGTATGGGTATGAAAATGTCAACTACAATTTTAGTTGATGGTATTTTACAACACAATCTTGCAAGCCAAGTAGCACTTTCAGTGCTGTTGTAATGTGTATTTGTCTTATGGAAGTCAAAAAAGCAAAGTAATTGTTTTTTATTTTTGAGGGAACAACCATTTCATGCCTTTTTTTTTGATTGCCAATAGAAACCACTTCATACCTTTTCATGTGCTACCATTAACCCAATGTGTCATACTTATATCGTTTGAGTTAGGAAGAGACCAGTGTGGGATATTGGTTATAAAAGCTTAAAATTGTCATTTTAGCCTAGGATGCCACATCTTACTTTTGTTTTAGATACTCTTTATTGGATTTTTTATCCATTTAATGTGCACATATGCATATTCATTGCAATTTTGACTTTTTGTTTATTTTTTGGTTTGAATATCTAAAAATTTTAATTAATTTTATCCATGAAGTGTTATTGTGGTTATGTTCGACTCATCCGTTTCTAATTTATTGGAAGCCCAAGAGAATATATTTTTCTATCCTAGGTGCAAATATTTCATCCCTAAAATTGGTAGAATTTTTAAATGTTCGCAATTGAGCTGGCAGCATTAAGTTGAATGAGACATGCTTTGAATAACTTTTTTTACTGCTTTAATTTTTTAAGTGTTGAGTCTTTTAGTGGGGGACATGAATGGATAGTTCTACACCAACTTACTATATATGTGGATACCAAGGTAATAAAGCTATATGTTTTATTTCCTCTATTTATAGGTGGATGCCAATGTAAATTTATATTTTGTGTGATTTGCAGTGAAGGAGTTGTGTTAAAAAAAGATGCAGGTTCCATTACTTTTTGGCCTATTTTAGTGTGATAGTGGATATGGCATTTGATTTTTTTTTCCTTAAAAGTCCCGAGTTTGTTGGGTAGTTGGGAATGAGATTGTGATATATCTATAATTTATAATATAAAATAGGACAAACTTCAATAAGTTCATCTAAGGTCTCAAATAGACTCATTCAACATCTGTTTCAAAACCATTCATATAAACCTTACCCTTCACCGTCACTCCATGTCAGAGGCTTGCTGCCTCTCAGCCTCCCGGCACGTCCTCTCTCTTTCTCTCTCTCTGTTGTGCCATCTCTAGTGACATCACCATTGCCAGCGACACTACCACAGCTACACCCCTTCTAGGTATCCCTCTTCTTTGTTTCTCTCTCTCTCACACCCCCTCTTCTTTGTCTCTCTCTCTCCCTCTCTCCTCAGTCCCCCTTTTGTGCCCTAATTCCTGCCTCCTCTTTCTCTCATTTTTTCAGTGCGGATTCATACATGCCCTGATGCCCTCTTATACATGCCTTACGCCATCGCTGGACTCACTGCTCTGATAAGGTAACCTTCTGTCCTCCTTGTCTCTTTGCTTTTTTTCCTATCTAATTCTTATCTCTCATCACCGTGGTCCACCAACGCATAACACTTTCAAACCGTCAGCGTGTACCCACAACCCCATTCCCTTCATCAGACCACTTCCACAGACAGTCCACTGCCACCAACCATAGCCATCCCCTAACCCAACTGTCTGCCACCCCCACCCCCTTCATCAGACCATAGCCAACACCACCCACCATTGAGCCCAACACCTTTCTCACACATTAACTATTTGTTAACATGCCTCATAAACTTAGTAAGTTTTTATTTGAGAGTGAATGGTGTTGGATCAGACTGGGCACACACCCAACACCTCCCCCCCAATTTGATTTCGATTTCGAGGTCATTTTTTGATTTCAATGTCTAGATTGAAATTGAGATTCTTGCTTAACTGTAGATGTTTTGGATGTATGTTGAATTAGTTCTCTATCATACCTTGATTAATATTTTGGATGAAATCATTGATTATACTTTGTTAAAATAGGCGTGATATTGATTCAAGGGTTATTCTATTTTATAGGAATGTATTGTTGTGTCATTATTCATTTGGACCCAAATTGAATTCTTTTGTATGTACAAATTTGTTGTAATAGTAATATTTATTTGTCATTCCATTTGACTTTAAACTATTGTTGTAGCTAGATGCTATGATGTTTATTTTCTTGAATTGCATTGACTGGAGTTGTTGGTATAGTAATCTAAATTCATCCTCCTCATCCCATCCAGCTAGCAAAGGTGTGACATGATACGCGATAGCCTGGGGTTGGGCTGGAACATTCTCAATCCCAAAGGTATCAATTTGTTCTATGTAAAATGGTAAGCTCTTATTTGTGGTCTTGATTTTTTAATCTCAATTTGGTATTCTTATATCTTGACTTGTTCATGAGTTGATGCGTTTAATTTTTTTACTTGGTGTCTTCGTAGCTCTAGCTTATGAAACACGAATACGGATACGGGTACGAGTACAATATGATACAGATACGGTGATACAACAAAGTCTAAAAGAATAGGATACGGGTACGGTCAAGATACGACTATAATAAAATATATTTAATATTTTTATTATTTTCAATAAACTTAATACTTATATATTTTGGTAGTTTTTTAATATATAATAAGGAAAATTAGTAATTCGTTTTAGTTTCAAGAAAATATATATTGTGTCGTTGTGGTATATTCACAAAGTGAAGTGACTAATTAATGAAATCAAAGCTAATATTTACCTACTATTTAGAAGTAATTTTTGCTAAGATTATAATATAATAATTTTATTTTATGTTCTTTTGATATATAATTGTAAATAATACTTAAAAAATATTCATGTGTCTTTGAAGTAATATGAATTTTTTTTGTTAATATATTATATGGTATGTGAATTCGAAAAGAGATGCTAAAAATTCAACTAAAAAATTATATATGTTGTTCGACTACAAAAGTATCCGTGAAATATCTTAATATTTAATTATTATCAGATACGTAGAAAATATATTTGATACATATTTTAGAGTATTCGACGAGTATCGTATCCAATACGAATACATTAACCTCAACGAAATATCCGTATTACATAAGCCGAAACAGATTTTTTTTCTTGTTGCTTTTTCTTGTTGAATATGTTGACTTTCTTTGATTGTCAGTGATCATACATTATTAAGTGTTGAACAAATGACCGGCCTCTTATAAATTAGCTTTCTCACTTTCTTTGAATTAATTGATTTGACCCTCCTATTAGTTAATAAATGGTGATCTCCTGATATATAATATGGTATGACCTTTTATTGGTATGAAACATTATTTTCATACCATTATTTTTATGGCTAATTAATCATTATCTATTGACCATTGTTTTCATGGACTTGGCAAAGTTATAGTTGCCCTCCATATTTCGTGGTACAATTTATTCGAATGTTTTGATTTGCTATACGGATAATTATTGAACCAATTTTTTTTTTAAAAAAAATCCAAAGCCAGTTAATTGATCATAATTTTTATTACTAATTGATGCACTTTTAGTAAACTATTTTGCTATTTTATAGGGATTTTGTTGACAAATGTGGATTTGTTCGAAAATTCTGTCATTTAAGAGGATTACCGGAAGTATTTTTCATATAACATTACTTATCTTTTCATGATTTTTTGAAGGTGGGCAGTTGCTATTTTTTTTTCATGTTCTAATATGCCTGATTATCAAGTAGGCTTTTCATTTTTCAATTTATTTAAGGAAATTATTTTGATTGCTTTAGAGTAGGGGTGTCAATTATGTCGGGTTAAACGATTACGTGTTGAGTTAAACGGGTAAAAAAATATATAAACTCATACACGACATGTTTAATAAACGGATAAAAAATCTTAACACGAATGCAACCCGTTTAATAAAAGGATAACACAACTTGTTTAACCCGTTTAATTTAAAAAAAATTATATCAACAAATTTTAATGCTCCATTTTTTTTTACTGTCAATCGCACCTTACCTCAAAAAGAGGAATTTTTAGTCAAACATCATAAAAATAAGACTCGAAGGCTTAAAAAAAAAGGCATAAGGTCATTGCTCTCCATCTCCTCTCCTTCGTCTTTGATCTACTATTTTACTTATTTTTTTTTATTGATTTATTGATTTCTTTTTTTCTTGTTAATTTTTTTAAATAATTATTAATGGATTAGTATATTAATTTTCTTTAAACGGGTAAATGTGTGATAAACAATTTGACAAGTCTCACCAGAACACGACTCGTTTATTAAACGTGTTTGGCGTGTCAACCCGTTTATCACTCAAACCCGTTAAGATCTCACTCAAATTCGCTTAATTCGTGTTGGTTAATCGTGTCGTGTCGGATTTTGATAGTCCTACTTTGGAGAGTATCTTTTTAAATTAATTTGAGAGAATTATGGAAAATTTGGTGGAATTTTAAATAATTTTTCAAAAAAATCTCTCAAAAGCTACCGATTTTTTTGGTTTTTAATGGAGATTTTTTTTTTTGGACAGCGGATAGGCGTGGTGCTTGGGTGGAATGAAATATGAGCAGAGAGTATGAGAATTTGTAGTGGGGATAAACTAGTTTTAACTAGATGTTATATGTTGGTAATAGTAGTGTTGCAGAACAGATGATTGTATATTGAAACAGTAGGTGTTGATATATTGAAATGTATATTCCACAATGTCATTAGCGCTCTTTTATTTGATATGCTTTGTAATTGACTTTTTTCTTTATTACGCCGTATCTTTAGGCACTAAGGTTTTATTAAATGATATAAATAATAGTCTATATCAACTTAACTGGAATGTTTCATTTATTTTTCAGTTCTGTATACAGGTTGATATTTCCATGGTCTTCTATTTTCAAAGGAAATTATGTTAAAATTTTGAAAATATATCAAGTTATTATTAGGTTGATTTTATTTTCTTTAATTACTTGATCTAAAGAATAATTTATATCAACTTAATCGGATTTGTGTGGATTTTTGTTTATTTTGTATTTAGTATGGTGAACTAATTTCATGTTTATTGAGATATGTTTGACTTGATGTGAAATTGTTGGTTGGGGGTATCAATCATTGATTTTGGGAGATTGTTTCGTTTGTTTTTCAATTGTTGAAATTTTACTAGACTCCTATTTTTAGAGCAAGTTTTGTCGAAATAGTTCTCAAAAAACATTTGGGAACTTATATTGATTTCAATTTCTTTTAGCAAATTAAAGTAATTTTTTTTTTCAAATTAATTGGTTGGTTTATGTTGTACCGTGCCTTCAGACACGGGTTATCCCTAGTTAAGAATAAGAGACAAAGATTAGGTGGTTGAGTCTCGGTAGCCTAATCACTAAAGGCGGCAACGATGACCGGAGAACTTTATTAATGAGAGATTACAAGATAATAACAGTAGAGAGAGAGAGAGTAATAACAAGCTCAAGGTGTGGTGTGTGAGAGATCTGCCCCCATGTGTAGGGGGTTTACAATTTATAGACACAAAACATTAGTTGAGACGGTGACGTGAAAGTGAAACTATTAATTTATCGGAGAGGATAGTTACAATTGGGAATGAACATTATATTAAAGTATTGACTATCCCGATGATTACTCTTTCATGTGTGTTGACTCTTCTTGAACTCTTGCATTTTGAATTAGACCGAGGCCATGAGCTAAGCCTAATCTGTCTTATGATAATCTGGACTCGTAACACCCCTTGATTTTGGAAATCTAAGGGTTCTTACGGTTTTGGATTGCGATAAGTTGAAATCTCTCTTCCGGCACATTATGGGGAGAGGTCTTGGGGCAGCTTCGCGAACGATGTAAGGTCATGCTCAAATATGGAAGCAATACTGGAAGAAGATGGAGGAGCAGTGGCAAGAGAGGACAGAATCGTTTTTGCAGATTTAAAATCCATGAAGCTTATCGGTCTACCACAATTCCATTTTTGTCTCAATTTGGCATATGAAATTCATTATCGTATACTTATCCTCCTCCTCCTCCTCCTCCTCTCTCCCTGTTTTTCTGTCAGGAAATTATGCTTCCCAAAGTGTTCTTGTAGAATTGAAATATACCCTGTTTATCTTAATTATTCAAAAATCGCTTGATAGAGTAATACAATTATGCAGGTTATATGTCCCTCCTTGGAAGAGTTATATCTCTAGGGACTGGATAACATGGAAGAGATAGAGTACAAACAATTACTTCCGGCTCAAAGCTTTTACAGCTCAAGAGACCTGTCAATAGGTTCCTATGAAAAGCTAATCACAGTTATTCCATCCAATCTGAGGGGAAGGCTAAACATTTTAGCAAAATTTCCTGTTTGCGACTGTGATTTAGTTCAGGAGATATGTGAAGGACCTGAGATTAGTGTTTTTTGGTTGTGGGGTTTACCTAAACTGGAGCACACATAGTGGAACAAGGTCTCCCAAAACTTTATTAGCTTACAAAATATCAATATATGAGAATCTACAGATGCAAAAGTTTGAGATAAACAAAAAACGTAAACCAAAAAAAACAATCTGTTGAAACAAAAAAAAAATAGAACCAAAAAAAAAAAAATCATAAGCAAAATGAAAGCATAAATTCAAACCTAATAATGACCGAACGTTGAAGAAGAATAAGAATGACCCTTTTAATGTTTAACTGGTTCGGGAAGGGGAAAAAAAAACAAAAATCCGTTGGAGAATAAGAAGAACGTTAATGGCTGATGATTAGAGAAGAACAAAGAAGATAAATTTAATGACAAAGATACTAAGAATAAAATTCAAAACTCAAAATGGATAATGATATAAGAAATAAACGTTAGATGACAAATCTTTTGAGAATATAATCCATCCATTAAATTAGGAAATATTTAACATAATAAAACAAATTTAAAAAACAAAAAGAAAAAACTATCAAATCTAATATGCATGATTTAAGATGAGGGCAAATACGTCAATTTTTTTTTCAAAAAAGTCAAAATGTGTACCTAAACACAATAAAGTTAGGAAGATGAGGATTAAATGACTTCACATTAAGAAGTATGTACTTGAAGACCAATAAGTCTAATTTTATGTATCCCATCACAATTCTCTGAAATAATAAGGTTTCTTCGAAGGCTGGTACACTTAATTAAATTTATTACTATTTAAGTGTATCAAGGAGATTGTTTTGAAAAGAAGTCCACCGGCAAGAAAAAAGAATATTGTACAATTCAAAATAATTCTCCAGTTGTCTAAATCGTATTAGGAAACTCAAAATTTCATCCACTTTATTCATAGCAAAATAAATATTCTCATTAACCCACTCTCCCACTTAACATTAATCCATAACTATTGGGTATGTGTGTGTGTATTTATAATATAAAATAAGACATACTTCAATAAATCCATCCGACAGTCTCAATAGATTCATCCTACGGTCACCAACATCTTTCTCAAAACTATTCACATTATACTGTACTTTCAAGAAAGGGTTATCCTTAGTCTATAATATAAAACAAGATACACTTCAATAAGTCTATCTGACGGTCTCAAATAGACTCATCCAACGACCACTAACATCCCTTTCAAAATCATTCACATTGTATCGTGCCTTCAGGCATGGGTTACCCCTAGTATATATATGTGTGTGTGTGTATGTGTATATAGAAAACCACATACAAAATAGTTATGGGATCAAGCTTAACATTTAAGAAAACATTTCTTCACTCTTGCATAACATAAATATTTTTCATGCAAGTACTTCAAATATAACATTCTATGTACCATAGGTACTCACCCAAAAATCAATGTAGGGTCACAACTTAATACCTCCCCTACTTGGGTACATAGTGTCAGAATCCAAAACCTCCCCTACTTCAACTTCTATGCCCATATACATAGGGTCACGACTTATAACCTTCCCTAGTTCCATTTAGGGTCACAATTGAAAGCCTCCCCCACTACAACTTGTTGCATAATCGGTTCTGCACATGCATCCTCCTTATTTATAGCCACCGAGGTGAGCGGTGGCTTTATGCCAAAACGTACCATACCTTTCACATGCACAATAAAATATACTTGATCCATAACCACTTACAAAACATGTCATTCAATAAAATATTTGCTTAAGTATGCATAATTTATAATAAGAAAACATACATGCATTTGGATTTTCAGTACTTATAAGTCCGTATAGCAGTAATGCTACGTTGACCAAATTTTGAGACTAAATTTTGAGCTCAAATGATATAACAACATATTATTTAGAATATTTATTTGGGTCTAAATGACATGACACTAAATAAAGAAATTCAAGTCAATTGTTATGTCGTTTAGGTTCTAAATTTGGTCAACATAGCATTACCGGTCCGTATACTCACTTGCACCCCGACTTAGACTAACAATAACTTAACTCACTTCTGACCTACAACATAAATCACTCAATGTCACGAGAATCATTCATAATTATATGTAATTAATTTAATTAAAAATTGATTATACAAAGTACTGAAAATCCTCTTAAATATTTAATCCAGTTCGGTCATGCTGTTCTCACTACATACATTGAATTTCGTCACGAAACCAATTCTATTAAAAAGTAGACTTCTCTAGTTTCCTATCTAACAGTCATGATCTCAAAAATACATCTTGCGGCTATTTATATATATATATATATATATATATATACCAAAGTTATCCAATTTCATCACTGCACATTTTTCTACTAACTTAAATGATAACCTATATTTGCTGGTGTATACCCAGGTACTCTACAATGTACCGATGCGAATCCCTCTAAGTTTAGTTTCTAATGCTGCAAATAGTGCATCATTTCAAGTTTCTTACAAAAAGTTATGCTTATTTTTCTACAGGGTGTCAAAGTTGTCACGTATAACCCCAAATTCGAATTTTACAATATAATTTTCATTGATCCAAACAAATCCAATCCATATCATACCAAATCCAAATCATAGTATCTTCGATGAACTTCCATAAATCCAAATATTTTTTTTTTTTTTATAAATCCAAATCTAAGTCCATTAATAATAGATCTATCAAATACCCTACTGATTTCTAGTTTTCCTAACTATATATAGCAATTTCTTTAACCAAAGAACTATACTCTGGAAAATACCAAACTAACATCAATCGGAAGAATTTAAATCGACAGATATGAAATTCAAGCCTTCACAAACAACATACTGAAAATTGATAAGGAGTGCAGTTAGTTTCATTGTTAATTCGAAGTTATTGATTTCACTAATGGTTTCAAACTCGTTGAGAATCAGGCCGAAGAACTCATGACTAGGGGACACCAAGTGGGAGTTGATGGACCTTAGAGGAAGATGTGCAGCTTGTTACTTCGCAATTTCTCCAAAACGAGGTGGATCGTGGACTGGTATCGATCGTTGGAGCGAAAGACAGTTCTTGTTAAGGAAGTTTTTAATAATTCGTATGTTGTCCGCCAATTTCCATTGCGTGCTTCGGTGAGAGTACACAAGGAGTTAGAATCCAACTCACATAGCGATGCAAGTTTTGCCATTTGAAGAACTAAAAACCATATACTCCCCAACGATGATGATTAGTTGTCTCCGTGGTTTTTTGAGGAAAAAAAGATATCTAATAGTTTTAGATGACATTCAGACACTTGTAGCCTGGGAAAGCCTGAAAAAATCACTACCAGAAACATCAAACTATAGTAGAATCTTGATCACTACTCGCAACAGGGACCGCAACGGTCATGGACCAAGTTGTCGTGTTTTTTAAAAGTGGCAATTATGCGAGGAATACAACTGGAAGTTATTCAATGTCAGGGTTAGTTCTAGAGTCTCAAGGAGCAAGAATTTTGGAGAGGAGCTGTGAGAAAGTGCATGGGCTTGCTTTCTTCCATTGTTGCAATGGCAGATGAATTCTCAAATAGAGCAGTTGCCGAGATGGCTGAACAGATCCAGAATTACCAGTCCACGGTGCCACAACAAATCCAATATCACCAGTCTGCGGTAGCACAACAAATCCAACATGACGTGGTGCCACAACAGGACCTGATAAACTTTGCTGATGCATTACCTCCAACTTTGCAGCAATGGCTTCTTTATTTGGGATTTTTTCCTGAAAAGTATCCAGTGCCAGTGAGAAGACTGATTGCATATTTGGTGTCTGAAGGATGGATGTAGCAAAATATAGACATAACCAAATGCCCTGAATCCCAAGAATTTTTAGCTAAGAAGCATCTAAGGGATTTTGGACGAGCAAATAGTATCGAAGTTGTAAAACGGAGGACTAATGGGAATGTGAAGATATGTCGCATTAGTCATATTTTGAGGCATAATTGGTTGTCAAAAGCCAAGAAAGTTAGATCTCCTCCTCTTAATAGCAATGCAGCTGCCTCTACCTCTGGTATTATCCTCCAACTTTTTGACCGTTTTGATGAGGAGAATGACCATTTCCCACACATTCATGGCAACAAAACCATAAGTAATTCTTCTTTAAAATAAAATTTATCGAAACCTCTCTTCCTTTATATCTTTAGATTATCGGAAAGGGCCTTCACCTGGAAAAGAGGTGGGAAACTTTTTTAAGAAATGTATTGCTGCTGGGTGCTTCAAGGTGTTGCAATTTGTATATCTCGAACGTGTATTACGGTCTAATTTACCCCACTCGATAGGGACACTAACTCAGCTGAGGTATCTGAGTTTGAGGTGGACTTGTTTGGAGACACTTCCTTCATCAATAGGCAATTGTCTGAACCTTCAAACATTGGATTTAAAGCACACTAACATCAGCAGCCTTCCTAGTTTCTTATGGAAGATGAAGCAACTTTGGCGCCTATACTTGAATGAAAATTTTCGTAGCACACTTGAGTCTCCACCAAGCACCAGCATAGTACTAAGATCCAAACGTTATGGGGAGCTTATTTAAATGAGGAGACCTCGATCAAAAATGCCTTGGATAGGTTGGTCAATCTTTGAAAGCTAGGGCTAACATGCAGGTTAGGTTCTCCAAAGCTAAAAGAGTTGGCTAAGTGGATTACTAAATTGGCTGAACTTGAATCTTTGAGTCTGAGATTGATTGATCGTGAAGCGGTTCAAGCTTCAGACATATACTTGGACTCCTTGTCAGGCCTCAAGAAACTTTCAATCATTTATTTGTTTGGATGGTTAGGAAATCAAGTTATCATGCAAGACTTTCCTGAAAGTCTCACTGAGATTACCTTGTCACTCTCAGGACTAAGTGAAGATCCCATGCCTAATTTGGAGAAGCTTCCAAATTTAACGACCCTTAGTTTACTTGCAGGATCATATAGTGGCCAATTCATGCTGCATCCGTTCTTTAGACTATTAAAAATAGAATCCTAGATAATACTTTGTTGTTAAGTGTATCTAGTTGTCTTGGGAACACAAGGGGTTATGTCTTAGGTCTTGTTATGTAGTTAATGGTCTAGGAAAGTGAGTGGTCAAGATGATTTTATGAGACAAAAATATGAAGTTTTTCAAGTATTTAAAAAGTTCCAAAAGTTTGTTGAAAGACAAAGTGGATACTACATTAAGTTGTTAAGAAGTGATAGAGGTGGTAAGTACAACTCTAATGAATTTAATAAGTTTTGTGAAGACATTGGTATGGAAAGACAATTGCTGATTGGGTAGACTCCACAACAAAATAGAACCATTGTTGAGATGGCTAAATCGATGGTTTATGAGAAGGGTTTACCTAAATCAGTTTGGGCCGAAGCGGTATACACGCCAATTTACTTGATGAATAGATGTCCAACAAAAGTCTTGGAAAACCAAACTCCAATTGAAGCTTGGTGTGGTAGGAAGCAGTTGGTGAATCACTTAAAGGTTTTTGGGTGCATTTGTTTTGCACACGTTCCTAAAGAAGTGAGGTACAAGTTTGATGAAAGTAGTGAAAAAAATATATTTTTGTGGGTTATAGCTCTAAATCAAAGGGTTATAGACTCTTTAGTTTGAAGAGAAATAAAGTAATTATTTGTAGAGATGTTCTCTTTAATGAGAAGGACTCTTGAAATTGGAAAGAAAAAAATGTTCAAAATCAAGTGATTGGAACAAATGAAGATTATAGAAGCTTTGAGGTTGAAAATGAAAATGAAGAAGTTGAAGTTCTACCACAAATGTCTCCAACACCCAACTCTCATTCATCTCCTTCTACTTCTTCAAGTTCAAGCACTTTATCTCCAAGTTCAACTCCAAGAAAAATGAGAAGTCTTAGTGATGTGTATGCTAGATGCAAATTTTTGTGTGGTTGAGCCCAAAAGTTTTGAAGAAACAATCAAAGAAGATGCTTGGAAGAAAGCAATGGAAGATGAAATTCGTGTGATTGAGAAAAATAGCACTTTGGAGTTGGTGGAAAAGCCAAAGAATAAAGAGGTCATTGGGGTGAAGTGGATTTACAAAACGAAGTATAATTCGGATGGTTCAATTCAATAGAATAAAACAAGGCTTGTAACAAAGGCATATTCACAACAACCCGGTGTCGATTACCAAGAGATTTTTGCTCTAGTTGCTCGACTTGATACAATAAGGCTTCTTCTTGCTCTTGCTTCACAAGGGAGCTGGTTTCTTCATCAATTAGATGTAAAATCAGCATTCTTGAATGGTGTGATAAAAGAAAAAGATTATGTAGAGCAACCTTAAGGCTTTGCAGTCAACGGTGAAGAAGGAAAAGTGTACAAATTAAAAAAGACTTTGTACGGGCTGAAACAAGCACCTCGAGCATGGTATAGTGAGATTGATTCCTATTTCAATGCAAAGGGATTTCAAATAAGTAAAAGTGAACCAACCTTGTACATCAAAATGCAAGATAATACCGGTATTCTCATTGTGTCTCTTTATGTTGATGACTTGGTTTTTACCGGAAATGACCAATTAATGATTGAAGATTTTAAAAGTGAGATGATGAAAAGATATGAAATGAGTGATTTGGGACTTCTACATTATTTCTTGGGCATTGAAATTTATCAACAAGAAGATGGAGTTTTTATTTGCCAAAGGAAGTATGCAAAAAACTCTTCTTGAAAAATTTAGAATGAGAAATTGCAAATCGGTGGCTACACCTTTAGTTGTGAATGAAAAATTGTTCAAAGATGATGGAACTAAAGAAGTTGAAGCATCTTTTATAGAAGCGTGGTTGGAAGTCTTTTGTACTTGATAGCTACAAGGCTGGACATCGTGTATGCTACAAGTTTGTTATCTCAGTTTATACACAAACCAAGCCAAATTTATTTTGGGGCAGCAAAGAGAGTGTTGAGATATATTTAAGGTACACTTGATTTTGGGATTATGTTTGAAAGGAAAGTTGATGTCAAGTTATTTGAATTTTGTGATAATGATTGGGCCAGAAACATTGACGATATGAGGAGCACTTCGGACTATGCATTCTCATTGGTTCCGGTGTAATTTCATGGGTAAGTGTGGCACAATCATCAGCTGAAGTTGAATATATTTCAGCATCATTGGCTACTTCTCGAGCAATTTAGTTAAGAAGAATCATAGAAGATATTGATGAAAAGCAAGGTGAAGTAACTCCAATTTTATGCGATAATAAATCAACTATCGCCATGACAAAGAATCCCGTCTATCATAGCCGAACTAAACACATTGCAATCACGCATTACTTTATTCGAGAAGTTGTGGAAGATGAAGAGATTCAAGTCAAATATTGCAAGACCGAAGATGAAGTGACAGACATTTTTACCAAATCACTTCCTAAAGATAAGTTCGAGTTTCTAAGGGAATACAACAACAAAGCATGAAGGGGGAGTGTTAAAAATAGAATACTAGATAATACTTTGTTGTTACGTGTATCTAGTTGTCTTGGGAACACAAGGGGTTATGTCTTGGGTCTTGTTATGTAGTTAATGATCTAAGAAAGTGAGTGGTCAAGATGAATCTTGCAACCAATATGTATGTTAAAAATATGGAACACATGTATGAAAAAATTATTCCAAAAAAACTAAGTTACATTGTCTTTGTTTTATCTATGTTGGAGTATAGATAGTCTAGGTTTATTAGGATTTCTCTTTCCTAGGTTTATTAGGATTTCTTTTCCCATTTTTACCCTTACTATGATTTTTATATTTTGCCTATATATACGGGGGTTTTACTCTTAATTTGAGTATCTCCTTTTACTCACAATTATTTCAAGTTGGTATCAGAGTAAGGTTAAGGTTTGGGGTAGGGTTAGTGTATGGCTCTACCAGCCATACCGCCGAAACCACCCTGGCCATCAACTGCCTGAAAGTTGAATAGGAGAGGTTAAAGTGACGGCGCCGTCGCTGTCCGCCTTGATCAAGCCGTCGCTTCGTCTTGGCCCTCGTTTTTGCCCAATCTCTTCCGTTCAATTTTAGGCCTTAGTCTTGTACATTCTGTTGATCTGCCCTTGATGCAGTAGATCACTTATTTATATATTTTGGATTTCTGGGCACCGTGACTTGATTATTTGGGAGCTTTTTGGACCTTCCCTATTTGTCGCTACTGTTCGACTGAAGGTATATTGTTCTCCCTTATTTTATTCCTCTATTTATCTTAGAGTTATTTGGGAGCTTTTTGGACCTTCCCTATTTGTCGCTACTGTTCGACTGAAGGTATATTGTTCTCCCTTATTTTATTCCTCTATTTA